TATTGAAACGCTTCAAGTGCCTGGACGCACGGACGATCATGCGATTCTACAAGCTGCATCTGACTAGGCCTATGTCAGATGAGCTAAAAATTGTTAGTTTGTACTATAGATATCTATAATAAACGAGTTTATATAGTATTAGTATAATTATATTTGTATAATATCAAAATACTGAGTAATTGCCTACCGGCTACAGAATGTTGGTGGCCATTTTCAAACATTGAAACAACAACAAACAAAAGACTAGACTGGTACTCGCTCCCACCTCGATTACTCGATGGGATAGGTGAAGCTTAACCACCTAAGCCGATAGGTGGGACCGGGTACCAGTCTAACAAAAGACCAAAGTACTTGGATAACAAACCCATTTTTACAAGCGAAAACTGTAAAACCCTAAGATGTATAAAATAATTTTAATATCGTGAATTTAGATAGTAAGAATACAAATCTATTGATGTTGATATCTCAAGCACAATTTTATTGTTAGAAAGAGATTCGGGTAGTTCCGGTTCGTAGGCGATCACTGCCGAATGCTTGAAGGTAATGAAGATGACGGGCTGATGTTTTGTACAACAATAACACGCCGACATATCAATGGATGAGGAGGGGAGTGCCTCCGATGACAGTGGAAAACATGACGAACCTCCCCCGTTGCAGTCTGGCTCACTCACTTGCCCAGAAAACTCGGCATCTGCGGGCAATACGGTGCCCGAATTGAAATCATCTTCGATCGCGTCAAACAAGGGAACCGAAAGCGAGGCTCGATCAGCTGATTTGTCACCCACAACGAACGAAAATGATTGCAGTCGATTAAAGGATCGTTTAGAACGCTCCGTAAGGTAAAAACTACAAGACCGTGGACGCATCAATGCACCAGATAATAAACTCCAATCTTGCAGTAAAACATGCATTCAAAATTATTAAAATGCGTAGATACGAGCATTCAAATATCGTAACCAATTCGTTCAAGATACTGCTTTTATGAGAATTTTGACTCGTGTATGATTTTTAAATACTCCTGATTCGTGCCGATGGAAAACTGGCCCGTCTGTGAACTGTGTACTCAACGCTTTCACATCACAAATGTTAAATTTACTAAACTACCGAGTGGTGGTAGACGAGGTATGTTGCATTATTTGACAACAGTTTGTTGACCTACATTCGTGTGAGTGGCTAGCACTTCGATGTCACAACCACAGCAAAATCTAGTTACATTTGAGGTGTCACAGTGTCAATGTCATGTCATTCATTAAATAATGTGTGCAAAAATCACAAGATTACAGTCGAGATCAGCCTCAAATAAAAATATTAACATAAAATATTTTACATGCTATTGGCAATGGTGCTTCTGAGTAACGCTCATAGGGTCTATGTCCCCCAAGGTACTGCCGCAATGTACCCTGGGTACGGTCCGGTATACCGGAACGTACCTTGGCCTCTTGGTAACCTATCTAGGCTGAATTATGGTTAGGGATACCTGGCTTTAGGTATAAGGGTGTAGGGTTAGGGTTATGAGTTAGGGTTCAGGGAGTAAGGCGCGTTAGCGACTCCCTAGGAACTGTTAGTGGAGTAGGCGAGGTAGCGGTCCGGCTCATATTAGATACGTAGTCATTTAGTGCCACAGGTAGCGTTGCGCGTATAGGAGCCGGAGCTGTACCCCCCAGGTAACGCTTCCGGCAGTTAACCCTGGGGACATAGACCCCATCAGCCTGAGTAACAGTTGGCAACTTTGTCACTCGGGTTGCTAGGCTGCACAACCTTACACATCTCATCATGGCTGATGGGAAGAAAATTGGATGTGTTGAATATACTATTTATTAGCTTTATGTATAGTAATCTGGAGTACCGATCAGATAGGGAGGAGTGTGACGAGTCAATAAACCAAGGGACAAATTCGTCATTTACCATACTGTGATAAATGACCTTACGATTTTACTACGCGTACTCATACACCAAGCTTGAGCCTCAAATCGGACAGCCCAGTAAACATTCGCGGTCTAGTCATGCCGCCTGCGAATCGAGTTTCGCATCGTATACCACCCCGGCCAATCCGGAGAACTTCACAGCAAAAACGTACGACAGGGGGCGCATTCTCGCATTCATTTCGGCCATACAATCCAACCGCCATTGCGCCGCTATAATTCCAGACAAAAGCGCAGCAAACACTGCCTGCCGCGCCAGATCCGCCTCTGTGTAAGCCTGGTGTTTCGCTCTCTGAATGCGGAATGTGGCGTTCGTGGCTTCGCGCGCGGAGATTTGACCATCGGACCGCAGACCACTCCCGAGCGAGCTAAGATCAATCCGCGGTTGGCGTGGCGTGCGTGCAAGAGCATGC